TGATAAGACTAGAGGTCTGGCGCACAAAATTCGTGCACGGGTGTGGGGAGTGTCCCTCACCCTGGCCTGCACCCTCTTGCAATCCAGGATCCCTTGGGGGATTCCAACTGCCGATTTAGGCCCGATCCCACAGATAGGGCCTAAACCGGCAGTCGGACATCCTTCTCGCAATCCAGGACCTCTGGCTTCTAACTGCTCGCTAGCCTGCCTGCCTGATTGTCCCTAACCACTCACCTGCCTGGCTGATCACCCCTGACCACCATGCCTACCTGCCTGATCACCCCTAACTCACCTGCCTGCCTGCCCGATTGCCCCTAACAACTCTGCCTGCAGGCCTGCTCACCAACAACTTGCTCCCCCCTCAAACCCTCCCTGCTGGCCTTCTCGCCCCCACTGCCTTCCCTGCTAGCCGCTGTTTATCTACCACTCCTGAGTGAATTTTATAATTCCTGGCCATTATTCAAAAGGGTCTTCCTCACTAAATTATTTTTTTTTTGCTTCTTAGCAGCTCTATTTTAATTTTTTTTAACTTTTTATTGATTAAGGTATTACAAATGTGTCTTTATCCGCCCCCATTGTCCCCTTATCTGCCTAGTCTTGCCCTCACCCTCACCCCCTGTTGTCTGTGTCTATCACTTATGCTTTGAGGAAACTCCATACTGTTTTCCATAATAGCTGCACCAGTCTGCATTCCCAACATCAGTGACTGCTTCTTTGGAGAAACTACACCTTGAGGTCAGCTAAAGTTAAGATGCTATAAACTAATTCTAGAATGCAAAGGGAGAAAAAGGAGGAAGTACTTAATTACGTATATGGACAAAACACTCTCTTTGAGCAAACTTTAGTCAGATTTCTCTAAGCCCTGTTCTGGACCAGGCCTCAGTCTTGCTCCCTCCCCCATCCTTGCCAGATCTAAATAGACCAGTGTCAGCAAGAATCCTGCCATGTCAGTTTAGAGAAAACCCTGCCAGCCTCATGGCCCCCAACTGCCCTCTCTGGTCGGTCTCCTGGTCTAATTAGCATATTACCCTTTTATCTTCCACCCTTGATATCTGATCACTCTCAATATGTTACCAAATTCCTCAGTCCCCACCCTTGATATCTGATCATCTGGACTGCTTTTAGTAATTTTCCATCCACTCATTTCCCCCCCACAGCCCCAACTCCAACTCTACCCCTTGGCTGTAAATCTCCAGCTGTCTTCATTGTATTAGGAATTGAGCACAGTTTATGCTGAGGTCTCTCTTTCCTATTGCAGTAGTTTCTGAATAAAATCTACCTTTGTTGCTTTAACTTTTATCTGGCTCTGGTTCTCTGATAATATGCAAAACCTGATACATATATATACACAGAGTTCTGATGTTTAAAATAATATATAGTCTTAATGCCCTTATGATGGTGATAGCAATAGAAATTAGTTCAAGTTCTAAGAGGGTAATTGGGTACTCTATATTTGAAATATTTAAAACACTGCTTTATTATCTAGTAATTTTCTTTTTAGGAATCAATCCTACTAAATATGGAATATACCTTATGTATAAAGATATCCATAGTAGCATTATTTATAATAAAGAAAAATGGAAAGAAATCTGAATATCCAATACTAATTTGTTATGTAAATTATAATGTATGCCTTTGAGGAAGCATGGTGCAACCCTCAAAATGTTTATTAAGTGTCATAGTAACCAAAAGCATACTTATGAAATGATGGTAAGTAGAAAAAATCAGGATTATATAAAATTGTGGTCTCATTTAGCAAATAAATATCAGCATGTGTGATATAATTTGCATCAAAGTCCATTGTGAATCTAGAGCAATAATTTTTATGGTGTCAAGATCTATTTTTCTAACAATGAGCTTCTGTTCCATGTTAAATGTACTCTCTGTGTACCTATGAACTGTGCCTACTTATAACTGGGGTAATTAAAGGAAAGCAATGATAATAATAGTTAATCTGTACAATACTTACTGTGTGTCAGGGCACTTTCTAAGATTCTTTACAAATCATTTCTTATCTACCCAATACGGAGGTACGTTTATTATCCCAATTTTACAGAAAGGGAAGCCAAGGCCCAGAGAAGTAAAAAGCCCAAAGTCATACTGCCAGTACACAAGACTTGATTCGAACCCAGACAACTTAAAGAACTTGTGCTCTTACCAATGGGAGACAGGATTTGCAATCAGACAGACCCTATGCTAGCCTCTTACTAGTGTCATGCTCTTGGTCCAATTATTTAACCTCCCTTTGTCTCAGTATTGCCATCTGTGGAAATAATAATGTGTATCTCACACAGTTACTGTGAGAGATAGTGAGATCATGAATATGAAAATAAAAAAGCCCCAGCTCGATGCTTGTCATTGCTGCTGTCAACTGACCTGAACTGACATGGCCTCCAGAGTTGGGCCCCCTTCATAGAATGGGGAGCCTCATGCAGTGGAGCTGGTCTATCAAAGGCTATTTTCCCCTCCCCCACAACCTCAATAGTTGATGGTAGGCTAGTATGAAAGCAAGTCTTGGACAAGTGCTGCTAAATATATAAACATTCATTAGCAAACAGAACACAGTCCTCTCTGTCCTGGGACACTCCAATCATATAATTCTATGAGAGGCTCACTTGAGATCCATTCCGAAGCCAGACCTGGCCAGGTCTGAAGTCGGGTCTGAGTCAAGGCCGGGGACGGGGGCCTCTGAGACGGGTCTCTGAAGTGCTGTGCTTGGCTTTTTCTTTACCTCATTTACCCAATGGCAGGAAGGCATGTCCCATCTTCCTACAAACCATCGTTGAGCACCATTCATTTCGCCAAAGGAAATCACTCTTGAACATTTCCTAATCTACCGAACAAACTCTGGCGTCTATTTCTATAGCCTTCCCCCCTTTGGAGTGTAGGTTTCTGATTGTTCAGAGGATGTGAATTAGATAGAGTTAACTTGTGTACCCTGGCATGTATAAAACTGGCTTCTCTCAAGTTATTCTGGTATGAAGCATTACCACACAGACACCATGGCAGTCATGTGTTTGCATTTGGTTGGTAAATAGCATAGTCTTCTCCCTTTCTGGATTCTTTGTCTTTGTCCATTCCCACCCAGGCATCCTCATTCTCAATGTAATGGGTGACTAGAGCCTTTTGGAGCCTAAGTGTTTATACTAGGAGAATACAATCAGAGAGGGATATACAGGGGTATAAAGAATTACACATCATTTCTCCCCAAGAAATAAGAGAGCTCACCATGTATTTAAAAGGACAAATCTAGGTCAAGTTATGATGTTACCTAGATACTCCAAAAACAGTTGTTTTTTTTAAAAAAATATGTTTTTATAGAGAGGGAGGGGAAAGGAGAGGGAGAAACATCCATCAGCCGCCTCCTGCACGCCCCCTACTGGGGATCGAACCTGAAACTTTGCCATGTGCCCCCACCAGGACTTGAACTGGGGACCTCTTTCTTGGTGCAAGGGAGGATGTTCAACCTACTAAGCCACACTGGCCAGGGCCCCCCAGAAAAGTTTTTAAAAAGCATTTCTACAAGTAAGAGATATGTTTTTATTTAACCAGCAGAACCTCTGTAAAAACTGAAACTGTTATTTCTGGAGATTCCAGAGTTTCCTTTGGAAATATCCCCCAACTCAGACAAAAGTCTGACTCACCCTCATAAAAATCTGTGTTGTAATAGGTGCACTGAGAACCACTGAAAACAGGGTTAAAAGCAGCAAGCCATATATGGAGAAACCCATATCTTCAAACCTGTCACTCGTGTTCTGCTTTGCCACTTCCCCAAGCTGTGCTCTGCAAAACCCAGACGCGCACAGGCAGAACCTGCGGGGCCCCGCGCCAGATGCCCGAGCATGCGAGTCACCCTTGCTCTGACAGCCTGGACGGTTTCTGTGGTCTCCAGTTACTCGTATTCACCAAACAGTTTACCGGATATCGACAATGAAGCGTTTATCAAAGACTGTGTTCGCATTCATAACAAGTTCCGATCAGAGGTGAAGCCGGCAGCCAGTGACATGCTGTACATGGTAAGGCAAATACCAGTGTTTGTGGCATAAGTCAGTCAAAAACAACGGATGTGCGCTGATTTTTGGAGGGGAATCCTTGGTCACCCTGGATGTTGCTGTTTGTTTGTGTTGTGTGTTTTTTTCATTGTCATTAATGTGCTCAGTAAATTTACAGTCTGTGATCAAAACAAACTCGGTGTAGCTGTCTGTCAACAACTGGGCAAATACATTTCAGTTCTCTTTGTGGTCACTTCCTTTCCTCAGGGCATAGATAGATTGCACTTCTCTTTTTGTCTTTTGTTCCCTTTTAATTTTTGTGAGGGTTTTGTGTTTGTTTTGGGCTCTAAGTGTAACTGTTTGTGGCCAGCAGAGTACTGCCGTTCTCAGGAAGACAGCAAATGGAGTATGGGGACACATCGGATTTTGATTCACTGGTTTGGGTTTGAATCACAGTTCTGTGGCTTTGAGCTGGTTTTTAACCCTTCTGAGCTCTTAAGATGTCAAGTATTGTGGTTACTACATTTTCTAAAAGACGTCAAACAGCACACAATATTTTGCACCTGCGGATACCTCTTGCTTTTAGAAACTTCTCTTTATGCCACTTTGCTTTACAAAAAGACCTACATCCCCACCTGTTTTCTCCAACTGAAAGACACCTGAAGAGGGTCTTCCCTTCCATGAAAAACAAGTGAAAAGCAGAAGGAGTGTTCAGTGTTGGTTTCCCAGCTGTACAGAGGCCGCTGCACCCTGAGCAAGCTCCTCCCAGGAGCTACATCAGCATCACAGCGTCAAGGTTTGACCTGTGTCTGTGGGCATTTGTGCTTCATTTCCACTTACTTGGTGCATCATTAGGAAGATGTGTCCTAAGGTCATTGCTTTTTCGCTTTACACCAATTTTGGCTAACCGAAGTGTTCATAGGTCTGCTCTACTTTCGGATAGCCAGGGCAACCTGTAATATGTTGGTGAGATGTTGGTCTGTGTCAATCACCCAGGTGCTAAATTCCACAAAATTAGATGCTCGTGTTTCCTAGTTACTACTTTAGACCATGCTTCTATAGAGGACCATGTGCAGTGGTTCCTTCTCTATTCTTGTCCTCACACCTCATTCCCCATTTAAATTCCCACTTTGCTCACTCCAGTTACATTCTTGCACAAATAGGTTCCATTCTTGACCCTCTTGTTGTTTCATATTTGTTTTCGCAGACCTGGGACCCAGTACTAGCCCAAACGGCGAAAGCGTGGGCAAAAACATGTCAGTTTTCACATAACGTACAGCTGAAGACACCCCACCTGCTGCACCCAAATTTCACTTCACTGGGAGAAAACATCTGGAGTGGGTCTCAGTCCATCTTTTCTGTGTCTTCAGCCATCACAAGCTGGTACAATGAAATTGAATACTATGACTTCAAGACTCGGAAGTGCAGCAAGGTCTGTGGCCATTACACTCAGGTAAGGATCTGCGCTGTGTTCTCTTGAGACCATCTTTTCATGGGTGAGGACAAAACTGGAACCAAGTGTTAAGAAAATATACAGGAAGCTAGTACAGCTGTCAATATGACAGAGTCGGGGTTACAGGTTTCCTCTTAAAAATAAATAAATGGAACGGAGTCCAATAGCAGAGTTGGTGGTTGAGCAGTTTAGTGGACATGGTGACATGTGCAGGCCTACCATGGCTTGGAATAATTTTGATAACAGCTCTCTTCCCGTGTGGCTTTATTCCATCTATAAGCAATCACAGGGCCTTAAGAGTGGATGGTCAAGTACGAGTGCTCTATGAAAGGTGAGGCCGTTGGTTTGGAACTACAAAATTGGGAGAAATGAGCCTCTCAGACAGAAGCATCGATAAGAATTGATGCTTTTGTATCCTCCAATTCTTTCAAAGGTGGATTGAGAGCTTTTCAAGTGTCACAAAAGGAGAAAAAAAACAAGTTACAGCCCCTAGAGAGACACCAACATGTAAACTAAAAGCCACAGTATAAACAATGCTGTGGCTTTTCTGCCCCCAAATCGATAGTATTAGTCCCAAAGCGACATTCAGAGCCTCCCATTGAGACTTTTTGTTTTGTTTTGTTCTGTTTTTCACTCAAGCTGGTTTTAGCTCCCTAACCCTAACTCAAGTTGGCAACTTCATGGGAAGAAGTTCCTAGGCAGCGTCTTCCGAAGTCTTCTCCATAGGCTACTTTCTGGACTGGACACGTGTGTGTGTGTGTGTGTGTGTGTGTGTGTGTGTGTGTGTGTGTGTTTCTTTTCTATTTTATTTTTCCATCACAATTTATTCCCTCTATGCTCTCTTCTACACCCCTCCCCCTGCCACAATAACCACACTGTTGTCCATGTTCATGAGTTCTCTCTCTTTTTTCTTTTATGCTCAAACCCTCCACCCCCACGACACCCCACCTCACCGCTCCCCACCCCACCCTATCCCACCCCACCCCACTCCACTCAAGCTGTCTGCCTGCTGGACATGTTTTGTTTACTTACGTTTATTTCCTGGCAGTCGTTGTTAAGCCAAGAACTAAAGGGACTTAATCTATGTTGGACAGGTTTGAATGAGCAAGAATGTGTTGAAATGAGGTGTGATGGCAAAAACATTCCTAACAAGAGTTTTTCTTTTTTTTAATGTATTTTACTGAGTTTTTACAGAGAGGAAGGGAGAACGATAGAGAGTTAGAAACATTGATCAGCTGCCTCCTGCACACCCCCTACTGGAAATATACCCGCAACCAAGGTACATGCTCTTGACCAGAATCGAACCTGGGACTCTTCAGTCCACAGACCTATGCTCTATCCACTGAGCCAAACCGCTTAGGGCCCTAACAAGAGTTTTTAAAGAGCAAATGTTATTAGAAAAACTCTTAACACAGTTCAGCTCCGTAAAGCCTTTGACTTCACTGGTATTGTTATAGGTAAAACAAGTTAAGCACAGTTACAGAGAGGTTATGACTGTGTGATGAGAGGGACAGGACAGATTTCAGTGAGATTTTCATACTGTAAGCAAAGAGGGGCTATGAAGTCATCAGTAGCATTAAGTTCATTTCTTGGAAAATAAGTAAGGTTCCCTGAAATTTATTCCATAAACCATCAATTTTGGTTTATGTTTATTTTATTTATTTATTGTTTATTTATTTATTTATTTTATTTTTTTTTTTTAAAATATATTTTATTGATTTTTACAGAGAAGAAGGGAGAGGGATAGAGAGTTAGAAACATCGATGAGAGAGAAACATCGATTAGCTGCCTCCTGCACACCCCCACTGGGGATGTGCCCGCAACCAAGGTACATGCCCTTGACGGAATCGAACCTGGGACCTTTCAGTCCGCAGGCTGACGCTCTATACACTGAGCCAAACCGTTTTCGGCATCTTTA